TTCTCTAGTTCTCTAGTTCTCTAGTTCTCTAGTTCTCTAATTCTCTAGTTCTCTAATTCTCTGGTTCTCTAGTTCTAACATTCTCTAGTTCTCTAATTCTCTAGTTCTCTAGTTCTCTATTTATCTCTCTCTTTTTATTCCTTTAATGCTATTGTCGGTGAATCGTTTTCTAGTTATCTCACTTTCTAGTTCTCTAAATATCTAGCTCTCTAGTTCTCTAGTTCTCTCGTTCTCTAGTTTTCTTGTTCTCAAGTTCTCTAGTTCTCTAGTTCTCAGTGCACCAGTTCTCTAGTTCTCTAGTTTTTCAGTCATCTAGTTATTATGTTATTTAGTTATTTACTTATTTAGTTATTATGTTATTTAGCTATTTAGTTATTTAGTTATTATGTCATTTAGTTATTATGTAATTTAGTTCTCTAATTCTCGACTTTTCTTTTTTCTGCTCCTTTCATGTACCATTCATCCTGTCTTTAAGTTCTGTCTATCCTTCCATCTGTCCATCTATCTATCCTTCTATCTATCTAATCCATCTATCCATCTATCTATCTATTTAACTGTTTCTTTATCTGTTGGGTTTAATGATGTTGAAAGGAGTGTGTTTCTAACCATATTTAGCCTCATCTAGTTCTAACATCTAGCTTCTAATATTCAGGGGTAAATAAGGTTTCCTGCTTCAATCTTCTTATTTAATAATTTTCTTTACATTATACTTTATACATTTTGCTTTCAATGCTTTTATGAAATATATATTTTTAGTTTAGTAAGATATATTTATCCTTTTTCTGGGGAAAGGACCACACATTTTACAAACTTACTAACTTATTAACCATCAGTATATTTAACTCTATACAGTATGAGTACAGTGTTTTTGTGTAAAGATGCCAATGCTTGGCTATAAGGACTGTTTGCGTACCCTTCTGTTTTATTATTATTTATTTTTTACCATTTTAGTGCATGATTATTTTAGTTTTCCTTGTAGGTTTTATATTATTCAAAAATTCAAATGTTTCTGGAGGCAAAATTTGTGAATATGATCACCTTATCTTTCTAAGGGTCATATAAGGTCCCAAAAAAATATCTAAGTCCGATCGGTTCAGCCGTTTAAGGTTTTTTTTGGACCCAAATCCGAAAAAATCTGTTCAATCTTACTTTTTCTTTCTCTAAATAATATTCACTTTAAAGTTCTAATTGTTAAAATGAAATATAAGATTAATGTAAACATCTTATCCTTGAATAATTTGACAAATGACAAGGTAAATATTAGGATAAAATCAACTATATTCTATTTAAACACTGCTTACTGTCAAACATGTCATTATTGTTCTCTATTTGCTCCGACTTTTTTTAAGAGTCGGCCTCTTTTCATCCGAGGGAATATATCTTTACATTCCAGGCTTTGCGGAGATATTGGGAGGTTTTGACAGTTTTGACAGAGGTTGATTTTTTAACCCCTATTCCGGTTGGGCTATTTTTGTCTATCCAATGTGCATGGGTGATTTTACTCATAGAGTTGTGAGAGTTTTAGAACTAAGAGAGTTTTTGTTTTCAAATATGTTACCAGGCCCGTGGCTAAATTATAAAAAAAGGTATGAACTTTCTTAATTTTTAAATCAGACGCCTACTTCCCTTCAGACAGTCCTGTCCTCGAACCAATATTATTTCAACGATAAAATGGCATTTTTTTACTAGAATGAAAGGGACTGTAAGCGTAATTTCAAGGGATCCCCTATACAACGATTGCAATGCCAGATTGAGAGAGGTACCCTTGCGGAAAATTTTGTTTAAAAGCATCTAATTAAAACAATTTCTAAGTGTTTTCTTGCAGTAGAAATGAGCAAATCACTTTTTAAGAGAAACAACAATTGAGAAAAATCGAGTTTCAACATTTTATACATTAATATTTAATTTACATTTGATTGAACAACGCTTTTAAGGGTACTGTTGTAAACCGGGCACTACCATCTTTTCATCGAGGGTTACTCGAAATTACGCTTACAGTCCCTCTCCCCGGTCCCCACCGTGAGGCTTAATCTTGATGATCATGATCAATGGTGAATTTGGTGTGAATTTAGAGTGAATTTAGAATGAATTTAGAGTAAATTTAGAGTGAATTTAGAGTGAATTTAGAAAGAATTTAGAGTGAATTAATAGTGAATTTAATACGAATTTAGAGTGAATTTAAAGTGAATTCAAAACGAATTTAGAGTGAATTTATAGTGAATTTATAGTGAATTTAGAAAGAATTTAGAGTGAATTTAGAACGAATTTAGAGTGAATTTAGAGTGAATTTAGAAAGAATTTATAGTGAATTTAGAACGAATTTAGAGTGAATTTAGAGTAAATTTAAAGTGAATTTAGAGTGAATTTAGTGTGAATTTAGAGTGAATTTAGAGTGAATTTAGAACGAATTTAGAGTGAATTTAGAACGAATTTAGAGTGAATTTAGAGTGAATTCAGAGTGAATTTAAAATAAATTTAGAGTGAATTTAGAGTGAATTTAGAGTGAATTTAGAGTGAATTTAGAGTGAATTTAGAGTAAATTTAGAGTGAATTTAGAGTGAATTGAGAGTGAATTTAAATTAAATTTAAAGTGAATTTAGAGTGAATTTAGAGTGAATTTAAATTAAATTTAAAGTAAATTTAGAGTGAATTTAGAGTGAATTGAGAGTGAATTTAAATTAAATTTAAAGTGAATTTAGAGTGAATTTAGAGTGAATTTAAATTAAATTTAAAGTAAATTTAGAGTGAATTTAGAGTGAATTGAGAGTGAATTTAAATTAAATTTAAAGTGAATTTAGAGTGAATTTAGAGTGAATTTAAATTAAATTTAAAGTAAATTTAGAGTGAATTTAGAGTGAATTGAGAGTGAATTTAAATTAAATTTAAAGTGAATTTAGAGTGAATTTAGAGTGAATTTAAATTAAATTTAAAGTAAATTTAGAGTGAATTTAGAGTGAATTGAGAGTGAATTTAAATTAAATTTAAAGTGAATTTAGAGTGAATTTAGAGTGAATTTAAATTAAATTTAAAGTAAATTTAGAGTGAATTTAGAGTGAATTGAGAGTGAATTTAAATTAAATTTAAAGTGAATTTAGAGTGAATTTAGAGTGAATTTAAATTAAATTTAAAGTAAATTTAGAGTGAATTTAGAGTGAATTGAGAGTGAATTTAAATTAAATTTAAAGTGAATTTAGAGTGAATTTAGAGTGAATTTAAATTAAATTTAAAGTAAATTTAGAGTGAATTTAGAGTGAATTGAGAGTGAATTTAAATTAAATTTAAAGTGAATTTAGAGTGAATTTACAGTGAATGATTACTCTAAATTACGAAGTCCCTGTAAATCCTGATAATTTGACAATACAATCCTGTATTCTGACAATTTCTTAGTTGTTTTCTATATAAATAAATAATTAGATTTAAATAGACTGATTTATAATTAGTTACAAGAATCCAATTTAAGGGTTTTAACTGGAATTCAGGTTTATCAATTAACCATTTCGTTTTCAAGGATTTTCTTTACTTTTCAAACTCTGTGGATTAATTAGTATCAGGCTTGCAATATTGTTTTACAATACACTTTTTAAAAATAAACCCTGATCGGCAAAAGAGTATGTTTTGCAATATTATTTCAAATAAAAATATCATCATACAAGGCGTAACGACACTTCAAAATCGACCCGGTATTTAAAGGAATTGAGTTTTAGGAACAAAGTCAAATGTTTTAATCCTTAAATCTTTGCAACCCGATGGTGAAAACCTTTCATATTTCAAACTACGACTATTTGAGAATTTATAGTTTGAAATATCTAAGATCTACGACACCGGGTTGCAAAGATATAGGGATTACAAAGTCAGAGTTTGTGGCAAAAACTCAATTCCTTTGATACATCGTTTTCTCGAAATATTAGTAAACAATGTATAAAAGTAGAATGACCTTTTTTTATAAAATGATGAGATATGGCACTTGTCATTTTGTTATTTGTAGAAATATACTAATTGGACAAATCTGAAACTATTCAAGAAAAAGTTTGAGAGACAAAACAGATACAAATTAGAAAATTCTACAACTGCTTTGCTCACTATGAGAAATAATGGTAGTATACCCATTCAATTTTCTGTGCCAGAAAAATGTATAAGTTCACAAATTTTGACCGAAGACAAAACATAAAATTTAATTTATAAACCCACTCAATCTACACATAACTTATACACTAAACTAATATATTAGAGTATTTATTTAAAAATCAATAACTCTAATATAAAAAGTTAACTAATAATTCAATTATTGTCAATAATTATTTATAAATAGTTCTGACTAGAACAACAGATTCGATTAGAACATGTTGGAAATTATTTCCCAGAATAATTTGTACAATTTGTTATTTTTTCATTAACATTCTTCTGAAACGAAAATACAATGAACAGAATTTTAAGAACTTCATAATTAGAAAATTTAAAAAAAAGAGAACAGCCATTTTTTCCAAACTAAATTATGAGAAAATAGCATTATTTTTAAGTTGCTTCTATGTGAGCTAAACAAACTTTTAAACATGTATTTAATAGTTACAATAAATAAATAAATATTTGTTTGAACATTAAACATTAAGATTCACATAATTTTTGGCAAGATCTATAAGTGGTATTTTTTCATGTTTTTCACATACCAAACAGGTCTGGATCATCTTCATCCAATGACATCGTACTGTGATTATAAAGTCCTTGTGCGGAGAGCATTTGCGCAAGCTCTCCCTTATGCCCCGTACTTTTCTTAAGTTTGGCGCGCTTATTTTGAAACCAAATTTTTATCTGGTTTTCATTCAAGCCCAGGTCCTGAAAAAAACAGTATTTAAATATATACTTTGCTTGTCTGTCTGTCTGTTTTTTGTTTGTTTGATTGTTTGTATCCAATAAACGTCAAAACGGCTAAACCGACCAGGCTCAAATTTAGTGTGGGACAACACGTGGCCCCTGCAGGGAAGATTTATGAATGATCAAAATTTCAAAAATTTACTTGTCATTGTTGTTATTTAATGTTAACAAGTATTTCTCAAAAAAAATGTTGATATGACTTACTTTTTTTCTGAATCATACGGAAAAGGTTGTTTAAACCAACTCTTTATTCGTATTTTGAACTGTAAGTGCGGGGTTTTGAAAACGTTAAGTTGTGACTTTTGTGATAATTAGCAGATTAAAAGTTAAACTAGTATTTAGGCTAATTAATCAACTTCAGGGGAAACTAAACATTAATTTTGTAGGAGCTGCTTATATTCCACTTAGCATAATTAAATTGAAACTTCAATATTTTAAAATTGGATTCAAAAGTGCCTCATTTTTTTAATCTCTACTCAAAATGAAAACCAAATGCTTCAAATCATTTTTTATTGTAACATTTAATTTAGAGGCGAGTAATCAGTTTCTTTATAATTATTTCAATTAAAGACAAATAAGAATAATCTTCTTCGTTCAACCTTTTTTTTAAAGAAAATACACAAATAGCAAAAATAGCTGATACGTTTTAATTATTATTGAATTAAAAAATTAAAAAAATTAAAATGCTTTGACCTTGGATAAAGACCTCCTTCTCTCCTCTGTAAGATATCTACTCGTGTCGAACTCGTGTTTTAGTCGGCTCAATTGCTCCGACGAGAAAGCAGTTCTTGGTCGCTTGTCGTCTCCAATACTACCGGCTCTAACAGGAGACACGGAGCGCTCTGACCCACTCGCTGATCTCGCTTTCTTCACTTTCCGAAGTCGGGGACCTGAACAGTAAACATTTAAGGTTTATATAATTACAATTTATACTTAAACCTATATTAATTGTTGAATAACTCTCGCCCTAAAAACATACGGCCCAATGTTGACCACTTTTTTTGTAAAAAACGGAAAATCATAAAATATAATAGCACTATGTGTGAAAAAGTGCTAAAAGTCCTGACTCCGGTCCCTCCGTCACTCCATGTCTTGAATCCCCGACACTAAAATTCCTGACTCCCTCCGAAACTAAAATTCCCGGCTCAATCCGGTACTAAAAGTCCTAACTCCTTCCGTTACTAAAAGTCCCAAATAACTTCTAAGTCTAAAAGTCCACAGTCCCTCAATCTAACACTAAAAGTTCCGACTCCCTTCGACACTAAAAGTTGCGACTCTACAGATTAAAATCAGTTTGATGAGGAGAATGAATGAAAAAGAGGAAAGATGAACAAGAGATAAAACTGAGATTTGAATCTTATTTTGAATTTAATTAGAAATCCAGAGGCCGGCAGATGGATCTCTCAGTCTAGTTCAAATCTTTTAAATTGTCAAAACACAGCTTGGATCACACACGCAATACGAGACAAACTAAAACAACCATTTCCTATTTTTCAGAGTTTAACTGTAGATTGTGATCAATTAAAACTTGCCAACTTGAAACCCCTTTTAAAATGTTTTTACTTTTAATGTTTAAATCAGATTTTCGTTGCCGAGGTTTTCTTCCTAAAAGCACAAATTGTTAATCTAATGTAAAGGAATATGAGAAAAATATATATTTTAACCCCCCCCCCCCCGCTTCAAAACACAAGTGTTCTTGTTATTACTTAAGTTTCTAATATTTGAGTCCATTAGCAAAAGTTGACTAATTTTGCATTTTATCGTGTGTAACGGTTAAACTGGTAGATTATCGTGTGTTACGGTTAAACTGGTAGATTATCGGTTGACATGTGATGAGAGGGAACCGTTTATTATGTTTTTATGCTTTTGGATGATTTAGCCTGGAATTTAGCATGTAAGATCCTTCAGATTCAATCTTGTCAAAACCGCGCATTGTGCATTTTTGCTATGCGCACAGAGTGCACACACTGTTCGTTTTAATTAGGATTTCACATTTGCATATGATGCCTAGTTTCTTTAATTAAAATATAGACAGACTATTTTTTTTTGACAAGCAGGGGTTAATTAACTAAAACTATGTTTAAAGAAATTGTAATCATATATATTTGAAAAAAGTTTTAAAAATAAATGCAAATTTCGAAAAAAAAATGTATAATTCAGGTTTAAAACGTGATGAGCTGTTTCAGTGATGACAGAGATAAACGGACCACCCTGACTAAATCTCAACCATTCTACTTTAACCCATTATTTCAACCATTTGCCAATCAATGGCCGAAATCCGGTTATTTGATCACTATCAAAACATTCAGCGGCATTAATTGGAACATGCGCACACATCTCTCGTTTTTTTCCACGCTTAACTAATTGGATTTATTTGGTGCAAATTGTGCCAATATTAATTAAATGGACATGATACGGTCCGGTTCATTTCTCATTCAGTTTGAAATGAATAGATTGAATAAAACAAAATAAAGTAGATTCAATAAAAACAACAAAATTAACGATGAAAACGAGAGAGTTTATCTTGAAAATATCAGAGACTATGTTTTACCGAAATATCTATCCCCCGATCACCCTGATGAATCTCCCCCTCTCGAATTCGTTTGAATTGATTAATTTTGTTTTTGTCCAGGTCCGGGGGTTTCAATGGATGAAGGGGAAATTAAAATCCTGAGTGTTTCCTCCGTAATTTCAACCAAAAGGTCAGGACTCGGCAGCGCCATTTTAATCAAATATTTCCAAACCAAATGGGAAACTCGGCCATTTTAACTAATTACAATTATTGCTTTTTTTCCACGCAATTCTATAAAACCATGTGGGAGGGGGGAGGAGGATAAAAGGAATTCGACGAAATTTTAATTAAATTAGTTTGAAAGGTTTTATTTAAACAAATTGACGGAAAATATCTACTTGACAATATTTGCAATTTCTAGTCCACTAGCTTTATAGTTGTATAGTTGGTTAAAGGGAGTGTTCGCGAAAAAACGAAAGGGGGTATAGGCTTAATGCGATAAAAACACGCCTTTGATCGCTACTAATCTTACTTCTATCTGTTGCGTCTATAAGGAGAAAATTGTTAAAAACGACTAATACCGAAGAACGTACGTACTACGTAGTCCATACAAATTCAGAAAGATGCAACATTCAACTCGGATAGTAAACAAATCAATTTAATTCCAAACAAATCAAACAATAGTTATCGAATATTTTTCGACGCATTCGTAAATAGTTTATATTTCATAATATTTTGTATTTTTCATGATCTGAGAGTTATTTTTGAAAACATTTATTCCTGTTTCGAGGATTTTTGATAATGAAGACGACATTATACGAAATATTATAAAATATTAACTATATACTAATGCGTCGAAAAATAATCGATGAATACTGTTTGTAATATCTGAATGATTTCTTTGGAATTAAATTGATTTGTTTACGATCCGAGTTGAATGTTGCATCTTTCCGAATTTTTATAGACGCTACGTTCTTCGGTGTGAGTCGTTTTTAGCAATTTTCTCCAATATAGATGCAACAGATAGAAGTAAGATTAGTAGCGATCAAAAGTGCATTTTTTATCGCCTTAAGCCTATACCCCCTTTCAATTTTCACGAACACTCCCTTCAATGAATAACAAGTCTTCTATATATTTGTATAGTTGGTTAATCGATAACACTGGGATACTTTCTTATGTTACGCTGAGAATGTGAAAGTCAAATATTAAGCAAAATTTCCTTTTTTAATATATCACTTTTTACCTAATGAGCTGTTGTTTGATAATCACTTTCAAGTTAAAGGAGGGGAGGGGGGGATAAGATAAGGGCTCAACGATTTCTGTTCTAGGAAAGAGCCCTTTTTCAAATAACACGACATTTTGGGTATGTATTGTAAAATTAAGAGAACTCAAATTTTTTAGAAGTGTTCAATGTTCTAAAGAACAAGCAGTAAGCACGCATTATCGTACACACTTACACATTTTTTATATATCTATTTATTAAGTACTTCTTTGTTTCTTTGTTCGTTTGTCTGTTTGGATGTCCGATCATAACTCTGAAACCCCTTGACCAGACAGCCCCAAATTTGAATTGGGAAACTCGATAAAACCACGGGGAATTTTCTTAGCTTGATTTAATAGTTCCAAGGTTTTTTTTAGGAAAACTTATTTTTCCAGGGAAAGCTGGGTTCCCAAGCTAGTGTGTGATAAGGAAGATACCCCACCCCATCTTCATACGTTTTCCTCCGCTTGTTAATTTTTTAGTTGTCAAATGATTGAAAAAACAGGAGCCGTGTATGAAATTCATTAAAAATCGCGCACACTCCTGTATGCCGAGTCCATTAGCGCCTGAACCATTCAGGGTTCATTCATGTGCTTGTTGTCTAATCTGAACCAATAGAAATAGTATGGCGGTAACATCTATCTTTCTATCTATCTCATTATCCAATTAGAGTTATTAATTCTACAATCGGCGCTATCATTTAATGGAAATATATTCTTCCACTGAAACTATAGTGCGCAGTTTAAGACCAAAAATATTTGTTGCTTTGACGAAATGGTAATGATAATTATACCTCCTTAACAATCGTTATTTACGTAACTTAACAAAAAAAAAAATTTAAAAATTTAAAAATTCAAAAAGCAAAACAATTTAAGAATCATTTTGAAACAGATAAAAATGTAAAAAAAACAAACGTTAGCTGTATCAGACCTTTATAATTTTGATTAGAGTGACAGAAAACCTAATTGACACAAGAAAGTAAACAAACAAACCGTAGTTTAACACGCTGATATTCTTCAGAAACATAGATAATTAGTCAGATAGATAGAAACATAGCTAAATAGATTATATATATAAATATAGAAATAGATTGATAGAAACAGACAGTTATACAGATAGATTGAGAGAAAGACAGATAGATTGACAGAAAGACAGATAGACAAATGGATTGATAGAAAGACAGATAGACAGATAAATTGACAGATAGATTGACAGATAAACAGATAGGTTGAAAGATAAACAGATAGATTCACAGATAGACAGATAGACACATGGATTGGCAGAAAGGTTGACAGATAGACAGATAGGTTGACAGATATACAGATAGGTTGACAAATGACTGATAGGTTGACAGATAGACAGAAAGGTTGACCTACCACTAGAAGGTCTGTCTGAATATCTTGTACAGAAAACCCAGGCTGGCCACAGCTGACCGTTAGGCCCGCGAACCATACCTGAAATTCAGAACTATTATTATTATTGTTGTTATTCATTAAACTATAAAGATCGCTTTAATGATTATTAATATCGTCATTCAATTTGTACATGCTAAGAAAAAATATACTTGGCAGTTTATTAAAATTATCATTATATTATTACATTTCTTAACTTTTATAATCAGCAAAATGTAAATAATTATATCTAGGAATTTTTTAAATTAGATTTTTTTAAAAATATAATCAGAAACATAACCTAACCTGGGGGACAGTCTGCATCCTGTGTGGGTTTATTTGAGGTCACCTCCCCCGGTGACCTTGACCTTGAAATGGGCGGGGAAGCAGGGGAGGGCGGGCTCCGACCTGGAGACACCCCTAGAGATGTAGTGGGCGGAGATACAGAGGTGGGCGGGGAGAGTCTCTGTCCAAACTCCGGTCTTAAAATGGCATCTATGGAAAATGGAAGATTTCTCCTGAGCAGGGCAGGGGCGAGGGGAAGGAAGGGTTGGAAGATGGGAAGGGAAAGGGAAGGGCGCTGTAGATGAAGGGCGAGGGGGGCGAACAATGACGGGGCGGGTGAAAACATATTTGGTTTCTCATCTTCTTCTTCTTCTTCCTCTTCTTCTTTAATATCTTTCGGTGAAAGTTGAGGATGTGGTGAGTCTAGATCTTCTGGTGAATCTACATCGATCTCTGGTGACTCCGGTCTCTCTTCACCATGCAAGGAAGGTGTTCTATGCTTATCATTCACCAAGCTAAGCATATTAATCACTAAATTTAGCTGTACAGTTTATATAATTATTATAATAATCTAATTTAGCTTTAATAGACTCATTAGGACTGTGTGGTATCAACTGAAACCTTTTAACTGAACGCGCACTCTCTCTCTCTCTCTCTACTCTCACTGCATTGGCCGGAACTGGCCTGAGTGTACTTGGACCGGATTTTGGCGCCAAACTGCCTGATGAAAATCCACCGCTGGATTTCAGCCAATAAGAAGAAGCCTTTGGTTTCACTTCGACCAATGAGAGAGCAGTGACTACTCTAGCTCGACCAATAGGAGACAATCTAGGTGGATAGAGCTGTCGGCATCAAGCACTTTATCATAGGGTTACAGAACCCTGGCCCTATCAAGCCTCAATGTAGAGACATCAGGTTATCAAGCTAATGGTCTTCAAGCCACTCTCAGCTGCCTCAATGCAGATACAAGCAAAAAAGCAATGCGTTTAATTCGACTATATTGTAACCTATTGGATTTTAAATAACATTTTTGCATGGATTCTATTGTTTTCCCTTCATCCATATTAGATTAGATTTGTAACCATCGGCATTTTATTTCTATATTACTAATATCTTAAAAGTCTTTAAATCACTTTTTTAGAATATTATCAATTAGTTCAGTTTAATATTAAACCATAAAGGAAATGAGTCTTTATCACAAACTTAAATTTTCCAATCCCTATATCTTTTCAACCTGATGTTGTAAGCCTGAGCTATTTCCAACTTAGATTACTTGATATATCAGAATTCATAGTTTGAAATATCTAAGGTTTACAACATAGGGTTGCAAAGATATACGAAATAAAAAATCATAGTTTGTGGCAAAGACTCAATTCCTTTAGTTATTAGCTAGTATAAGCTACTTGGCGCACAATTGATAAAAAATTTAAAGATATTTATATTGTAATAAACCTATACACATTATGTTATGTAAACAAAATCAAGAAATAAGGAAAAAGCAGTAGTACGGCTAAATTACTGGTAATGCTTTGTGACCTAAAAGCTCCGTTTTATTTATGCTGAAGTATAGGAAAGCAATTTTATAATTAGCTTTATCAGAGGAACTCAAAATTTTAAAATTCTTCTCAAGAGCTTTTTAATAAAAGGAGTTAGGATTGAAAACATAAGACTTCAATGTTACGTGTAATTTACCCAGCAAACAAAAACTCGAGTAAAACTCGAGTTAAACTCGAGTAAAACTCGAGTAAAACTCGAGTAAAGCTCGAGTAAAACTCGACTTTTGCTTTCCAGAAGTTGAGTTTTAATCGAGTTTAAAAGTGGAGTTTTCACCGGCTATAGTCGTGCCATACAAGGATTAAAACTCGACTTTTCACCAAGATGATATCTGGATGACTTCTGGATGATTTCTGGATGATTTCAAACTTTATTTTGACGAGACCAACAAACCATGAGAGAGATAGAATCAGTAGAAAACTAAAAATTTTGCACTCTTTTTTTCATATTTGTTACCTTTTTACAGTAGTCTCCACGGAGTCAATTGCAATATTTTCTTGTTCTTGTTAAATTCAAATACACAATCGCCTCTCGATAACGGACTTTATCTATTCAGATTCTGGATGAATATATACAAAACTCATCAAGCGCAGCACGAAGTATGTTTACGGTCCTCCAAAAAGATGCAGTACAATACATATGTAAACAATGATATAGAGGTTCCTTGTGTGTTTTTCTTGTTTTGAACAATCAATCTGATGTCTCATTTAGGATATTTCATTTTTTGTTGATATTTCTTGGCTAATTAACTGTACAGTCCGTTCTGATTGTAAGATGGCAACCCTGACCTGACGCCACTCTTAAAGTTGCAAAAGCCGGTACAACACGTACTGTAGATGCAATGTACATTCAGTCGTCCTGTCCAGTCTGGCTACCCATTGTATAGAGTCGAACCAGAACGTTTTATGCAACAAATGACACCCGGCAAGATCAGGGTACCCTAGATACTTAGATTAAATTTCAGCTGAAGACGACATGAGCTGCCTAGTTTAATTTATCTAGGATGGTAACCCATCCCAGGGTATTGTAGAACCAGCACGAATTATAACTAGGGATGAACCGAACCAAGGTGTAAATTTATCTTTTTCATTCGCCATTTACAAGATTTAAAAATTCACCTGCGAAAGACCTAAAAACAAAAAAATTCATTATTTTATTGAAAATATTATTTATTACCCCTGAATCCATTCAAATATTTTATTGCAGTTTCATGCTTGTCAGAGATATTAAGGGGAATCATTATTTATCTTAATTATATCTTAAAAGTAGAAGATAAAAGTAGAGGAAAAGGAAAAGATAAAGTAGAAGATAAAAGTAGAGGAAAAGGAAAAGATGAAGTAGAAGATAAAAGTAGAGGAAAAGAAAAGATAATGTGGAAGATAAAAGTAGAGGAAAAGGAAAAGATAAAGTAGAAGATAAAGTAGAGGAAAAGGAAAAGATAAAGTAGAAGATAAAAGTAGAGGAAAAGGAAAAGATGAAGTAGAAGATAAAAGTAGAGGAAAAGAAAAGATAAAGTAGAAGATAGAAGTAGAGGACAAGAAAAGATAAAGTAGAAGATAAAGGTAGAGGAAAAGAAAAAGAAAAGTAGAAGATAAAAGTAGAGGAAAAGGAAAAGAAATGATCGATCATAGAAGAACGGAAGAAATAAGAAGATAGAGGAAGGATAAAAGTGAAAGTATAAAAGGGGAAGAGGAAGAGGAGTAAAATAAGGCAGAAAGAAAAATTTAGAGGAAAAAGGAAAGATGAAAAATTAAAGATGCAATAGATAAATAGATATAAAAACTAAGGTGGATACAAAACGCCTAAAAATACTATGTCCAAAAACAAAAATCCAAAATTACACATCTCCCAAAAACGCAACGCCCAATTTTACAAATTGGCCAAAAACAAAACGACCAATTAACAAAACAGCCCAAATTTAAAGTTTAAAAAGTTTCAAAATGTGCAAAGTTACAAAATTTTCAAAATTACAAAATGTCTAAAGTTACAAAATCTCCAAAGTTACAAAATGATTAAGTTACAAAATGTCCAAATTTATAGAATTTCCAAAATTACAAAATGTCCAAAGTTTCAGTTACAGTTACAACTGAACCACATTTGAACTATTAATATGAGTTAATAAACATTTCATATGTTTTGTAATATTTGCCTTTCTGTAGATTATATAATCATATCTTTTGTTGCTGATATCTTTTGCTACTAACATATGTAATTACATGTTTTCTAATTACCTATTTTGTAATTATATATTATGTTACTAAGCCGTGGGTTAAATCCTAACTAACCAACTAACTAAATATCGACGTGACAGCTGAAATTTGAACAGAAAGTTTCAAAGATTTTCTAAAATAAGTTGTTTTGCTTAACTTTGGGCATTTTTTTAACTTTGGACATTTTGTAATATTGAAGATTTTGTAACTTTAGATATTTTGTACCATTTGGTAACATTTAGACATATTTGGACATTTTGTGACATTTTGTAACTTTGGACTTTTTGGAACTTTGAACATTTTGTAAATTTGTACATTATGTAACTTAATTTTTGACATTTTAAAATCTTGGGTGTTATGATTTGGGTGTTTTGTTTTTAGGCTTTTTGTCTCCACTCCAAGCAAATTATGAAAGGCATAAAGTAGAAAGAAAGGAAAAGAAGGAATTAAAACAGGACAAAAAGTGAAAGTAAAGGAGAGAAAGGAAAAAGGAATGGGGAAAAGGATGAGGGGTAGAAAGTTAACCCTATTCAGACTGACGTCTGGTTTACCCAAAATAGTCTAGGGAAGGGGGGGCCTTTATGTGATACAAATTTATAGCATTCGATACACCTTAGGCTCTACTTTATAATTTGCAGTTTAAGAACAAAATTTTCTAAAAACAAAAAGTTCGCAAAATATGATATATTATGGATTTTTGAAAAGCTCCTACCACGGCTAATACAAATATGCAAAAATATTTGCAAAATATTTAACTAAATCTGTATTAAAGGAAAACTGAAAATGTGCAAGTTCTCTAGAAAGGCATCTGTGCAAAAATCTATGCAAAATTTCTTCGAAACATTATGCAATCGGCTTACTTTTGTTCAAGGGTTTCCAAAGAGCCATAGTCGACTCGAAATCCAATGACTGGAAGAAGGTCTAAATATAGATTTAGTCGGACAAAGATAGATAAAATGAGGCATTCAGCTAGTATGCCTGAGAACTTAGGCAGTTGGTATATAAGCCCCGCTTTGAGCCTATAGTGAGGGGCATGTCTTAGTTAGAAAAGTTAAAAAATTTCAACAGCTTCCGACCCATTCATGGGGCGGTCCCCGGGCCTTGTCCCCCCCCCCCTCCCCTAGTCGAAATAGGGGTTAAAAAGGTTCAGAATGTGAAATAAACAAATTCAAACTAAAATTTAATCAGAAATAATAAGATATTTTTTAATTCAGTTTGAAAATAAAATAATATTAAGGCGTAAATCTCGTTTAACCAGTAAAATTGTGTATGAAGTATTTTACAATAATAAAGTTTATTAACTCTAAAATATTTCTAATATCGTGAATACGTTTCTCAGAAATATATGTGTGTAATATTTGATAAAAAAATTCCTGTATTTAATGGAATGGAAAGGGATTGGGTGGGGTGGTATAATAGCAAACATTTTTTCAACCTGGAGTTTAAAAATGACTAGTTAGATTTTAAAGTTTATGTGATTTCTAAGGAAGCTGTTGTTCAACTCGGTAGGACCACGGGAATGTTCTTAGCATGGTTTTGAGATTCTTAAATTGAGTAAGCCCACTTTTATATAGAAAAAAAAATTTCCAACAAAGGACACAGCTCGGGTAAACGGAGGTACTAAATATGACTACCCTGGGCAACACCGGGTTCCAAAGCTAGTCATGAATAAAACAAAAATCTGGGTGATTTCAAGTTGAATGAGGGTAGTGTTAGGTTTGGTTTGGTTGGTTCCCATGGTTTAGGTTTCTAAGATTTGTTAATCATAAACCTGTAAACCCAGGAAGAATGTGGTTTGCAGTAAACCTTTAAATACCAGGGAGGATAAACCGAAATAAGTTTTACTAACATCTCTCTTTCTTGAATTATTCACACCTTAACGAGACTGCAAAGTTTTTCATTGGTTTCCTATGTTAGATTCACAGCGGTACCTTGAATGTTTGGTCTGACTCTGATCAAGATTTAACAAGATCTCTATCATATTCAATATAGTTTCAGTACAAGTAGATATTTCCATGTAGTGTATAGCACCGATTAAAAAAATAGATAGTTATATTTCTCACAATCTTATATCCTTTAACTCTTGAACCTTCATTCAATCATATTTTTAAAAGTTTTATCTTTCTTCTTATTTTGATTTAATACAAATACAAATTATGTGTAGATATTTGTATTTTTATTCTTGAAGTACTCTTTCAAATCTTAATTTTCTCAATATGATATATAACTTTTTTTCGTATTCACAGCACGTGTCAAACTATAGTAAATTGTACGTAACATGGAAGTTTTATATGTTTTTAATCAAAACTCCTTTAATTGAAGAGCTATTAAGAAGAGTAAAAATGTTTTGATTTTCCAATATGTAACCGATTTAATTTTAATTGTACGTAAAAACTAAACTATTTCTGAAGTCTACATAACTCTACATTCACCCCCCCCCCCTTCCAGATGTCAAAAGTAAAAGTGCACAATCGGAGGTATCGAAATGAAATTAACAGTTCCAAAGGTTGCAAGCTCTCTTGTTGATAATTTTGTCAAATACTTCTTAAAAACTGAAACTAAAAACAAGTGCTTTAAAGTTTACCCAAAAACGAGAAGAACAAAGTTGTTCACATTAGTATAGTGTAACCAGAGCTGAATGGTGGATATCAAGATTAATGCTAAACTCCTGGTTTTAATAAAACCCAAGATTTTTTTAAAACGCATTCAATATCCAAGAAAGAAATCAAAAATTTAACCAATCAGCGTGTCATGTCAAGATGCACTCTTTAACATTTGAAAAACTGGTTTTGATTTGAACTAAGCATCGATTGAATGAACGTAAGTTTTGGATTAATGTTTATTAAGACTAACGTGCAAAATGACAATAGTCCTAAAAAATGTTTTTAATAATTTCATATTATAATATAATTAAATTTACATTTGTTTAAATGTTCTAAAAGCCGGCTTTAATTCAATTGGATATTAGTCCAATCGATATAGCATTGTATCTGTAATTGTTATCAAACGTAACTTTTATACAGTAGAAATATCCAAAAAGAAGATTAAGAAGAAAATCAAAAGTGTGTACATTGGATAATCAGATTAAGCGATCGTGATTAAGGATATCTCATTCTAAAGTTTTCAACTCAGATAACTCTGATAACAAAATCAACAACAAGGAACTACGAGGACACAAAGTCGCAAAGTTCAAAGTATTGAGGAGGGTAGGGGGGGGGGGTGCTGAGGAAATATCCTATTTCCAGGTATTTTTTTATGGTGTTGCTTTCTCTAATTGATTTTTTAATATATCCTTTCTTCTAGGAATGCATCTCCGTGTGTGGTAAGATAGGAAGCGTGCGCGGGTCATCTTCAATATGTTCCGGTCAACTCTGATGACCCTCCTCCTTACTCTCCCTCCCTGCTCTCTCTCCCCCCTTGAACCCCTTGCGCCCCAGCATCCCCTTACCGGTAGGTCCCTAATTTTACATGAAATTAATACTGTGACAACAATTGAAATAGTTTGAATTTCCGCTGTTTTATTGTGAGAAGATACCCCTGTCTGTACAGAGCCTTGAACTAATCAACAATTCTGCTTATTTACAATTATTTCAATTGTAAATTCCGCTAATTTTACACACCACATTTCCGTTGATAATAATAATCTCCGGTATATGATTCATATTAAAAAATGTTCCCCTTTTGAACTCTAAACCAATCTAATCCATGGCTTGGAGATTTTCAATTCTTCAAATTTTTACACTTTAAAATGCTTCCCAACGTAAAAAAAACGAATTGTTAATATTTGGTGCTATATTTTTAAAGTGCACTTTTGAGATTAAAAGGAAAAACTAATAAAAGTAATTTGAGTATATTTAAATACTGAAAACCAGATTTGCAAAGGAATCAAATTTATGTTACGTTTTGAGAAAATAAAAAAATTCAAGAGCAGTTTCTCGTAAACATTAATAAAAAATAGAAAATATTTTAGTGTCTGTTTCTGTATTTTTTGTCTTACATTGCAGATTATTTAATACCTTTCACTCAGCGGCTGCAGCCCTGCAGGGTATAAAACTATGGTAGCCCCCTGTGGAAATTCTGACCCCCCCCCCCACCTGGAAAAATTCCTGCATACGCCTCTGTGTCGTAATGATAATGAGCTAGTTTTTTATAAACGTTTTTTTTGTTCGGTCCAAATGTAAGGATTTTTAGATTGTGATTAGAGGTTGCGTGATACTTCAGACATTATTTAGTAAAATTGATCAAATACCAATTTGTTATGTTTTTTAGCAATTTACTCATTCTATTTCTTCTATCCTCATCGTGTTTTCCTATTCATCCTACTTCAATTCTATGCTCGTTCATCCCAATCAGGTTTTCCTATTTGTCCTATTTTTTCTATTCCCATCGTGTTTTCCTATTTCTCCTATTTCTTCTATGTTCATCCTATTTCTTCTATCCCAATCGTGTTTTCATATTCATCCTATTTCTTTCATGCTCGTTCATCCCAATCGTGTTTTCCTATTTATCCTATTTCTTCTATGCTCTTCATCCCAATTATACTTCCCTTTTCATCCTATTTCCTTTTTTTTCATCTAAATTATACTTTCCTGTTTCTTCGTACGTTTTTTCATACCAAATATTTTGTTCTTTCTCGACCTCATTCTCCTATGGTCTTTCATCCTTTCATCCTTATTATACTTTCCTTTTTATACTATTTCCTCTAATGCTCTTTCATACCAATCATGTTTTCCATTTCATTCTAACTTTTCTATGCTTTTTTCATACCAATTATGTTTTCCTTTTCATCCAAATTTCTTCTACGCTGTTTCATATCAATTATGTTTTCTTTTACATTCTATTTCTTCTACGATTCCCCTCCCAATCGAGTTTTCCTTGTCATCTTTTCTGCTCTTTCATCTTGATCATGTTTTTATTTGTTATCCTTTCCCAGGTCACATCAAACTGAAGTAAAATGCACATAAGATTAAAATATTATATTTTTTATCCTAAACTCTTTTATTAAAGAACTATTATATATTAGAAAGAACAAAAATTAATTCAAAATATATAATATGTACCCGAGTAACAGTAATGTTCATTGAATTTGACTGACCTTCTCCTCCTTGCAAGTTTTCAGATGCAAAACGTCATTCCTTCCTTGGTTGCTCATTGATCGAGGACTTTGAATACAATCAAGCAAGATTTTATATTTTCTTTAACGACTTATAACATTCCTGATAAATTCTCTTTCTATAAAAAGATGTATCTATGATTGATTCGCATTTAATTTTAGATATATTCATAGATAAACAGATAAACAAGTGTAAATAGATTAATATATAAATAGACAGATTAAACATTGAATTAAGGTATTAACGTTCCCACGATCCGGGGATTATAAAATCATTGGATTATTGTAAACTCAGGATTGCATAAATGGATTGACAAATTCTCTAATCTGACCTTGGGTTCCGCCCTAAAGAGAATTAAATCAGGGGTTGAAAAGTTAATCATCTAATCCTTATTTTTCCAATCCCAGAGAAACACAACCCTACACCTGTGGATAATCTAAGATCCAATCAGAAGCCGGGAATTCAAAGGTGACCAATAGGAATACAGCAGAATGCTTTTTAACCAATAGGAGCGAAGATATTCTCCGGTCAGAGCGATGAGACCGGTACAGCCAGTATAAAAGAGTGTTCTTGTCTGAAACTTAATATTCTTTGTTCATCTTTCCAACAAGATGTATCAAGCATTTAACTTTCAACCTCTTGACGTGAGTTACTGGAGCAGAAGTGAATCTCCAGACTCATGGAGATCAATAATATCTTCTCCAAACAGCTCCTTAAACTCCAGTCTTCGTTCTTCTCCTCCTCCAACTCCAACAGATGTTCTCCATGCTTCAGAAAGTTTAATATCTCCTGTTCCTGTCTCAAGACATCTTTCCTTCTCCATAGAAAATATTCTTAAACCTTACATAAAGATAAATTCTAAACCTAAACCTGAAAACATCAAGGTTCAGAGTCCAGAGATAGAGGTTCCAGTGGATTTATCTAAAACCTCTAATGAAGCTCCAAGGACGGATCCAGACTGTCCTCCAGGTATGGTTCGAGGACCCAACGGTCAGCTGTGGCCAGCCTGGGTTTTCTGTACAAGATATTCAGACAGACCGTCCTCTGGTCCTCGAGCCAGGAAACTACGGAAGAAGGACGAGGACAAGAGGCCAAGAACAGCATTTACTGGAGGACAGCTTGAGAGGCTGAGGAAAGAGTTCCAAGGTAACAGATATCTAACAGAGGATAGAAGAATAAACTTGGCTCGTGAGCTTGGTTTAAGTGAATCTCAGCTCAAGATCTGGTTTCAGAACAAGAGAGCTAAACTAAAGAAATCTACTGGAGACAAAGGACAGTTAGCCAAGATTCTGGATGCTCAGGGCCTATACAACCACTGAACAAAAGAAACTTTTTTCCATCTGTGATAAAAATAAATTTATAGAGTTTATATATGCATGATTAATAAAAATCAACACAATAATCTTTTTTTTTACTTTGAACTGTCTAGATAAGTTTATCACATTTTAAGTTTGTTAAAGATGAAATTAAATTCTTTACAAACCTTGCAGTTAATGTAGATTTTAAGTTATTCAAAAAGTCGAATAGTAAATAAAAAAACTAAAATTTTCACTCACTATTCTCATGCACTTAGTGAGACTTATTTTACATTGACTGTAGCATTGTTTAACCATCCCTTCAAAACTAAAATAAGAAGCAGTCTTCAATCTTCAATTTAGATCATTTGTCATGCTTCAATTGTTTGTTTGTCATTACGTCTGTTTGTCGGTTGGTCTGTCTGATCTAACTAGTACTGACCCCCCTGTAGCCCACCCAAGCAACCAAGGACCCGAAAAACCACAATTAATTTGTAAATTGCAGACGCACAGATTTCTCACAGTAAACAGACAGTAGCTCAAGATTCAATTTGTGAAGGGGGTGGGAGGGGGAGGATGATTTCGATGATGAAAGGTTATTGATGGTTAATTGTGGGGGGGGGGGGGTATGATTATATTATTTTATATAAACAAGACGGGGATATTAATCTATTTCAAGAGAAATGAAACTAGACTATATATAATAATTTTTTAACTTATTAAAAGAACTTTCAACTTCGCCATCAACAATGTGAAAAGTTAAATGCCAGATTCACAACACTTTTTTTAGACCTTTATTCAAAGAGAATAGAATTCACTATTCTGGCAGCTTTTTCTGAGTAACAATGAGGAAAATATCGTTATTTTTCTATCTTCATGAATACATAAATCCCTTCTAGAGAAAACTCGAAATTGGAAATAATTCATTTTCAGAAAGGAAAACAAGGAGATTTTCATATTTGTTGCTAAAACTGTTGATAAGATACCGTTGTGTATTAGACATGTATCTCTATAAATCTAAAGGTTACTTAATAGTATCAAAGAAGAGAAAAGGAATAAATTGTTCGGAGAAACCCTTAACAGTGCGTTCTTCATTTCAAAATACTTTCGATAGTTTAAAATAATGAATAAAAGTTTCTGTATTATGAACAAAATATTCGATATTTTGAACAAAATGTTATATATAATAAACAAAATGTACGATATTATGAACAAAATGTTCGATATTATGAATAAAATGTTTGATATTATGAACAAAATGTTCAATATTATGAACAAAATATTTGATATTTTGAACAAAATGTTCCATATTATGAACAAATGTTCGATATTATGAACAAAATGTTCGAAATTATGAACAAAATGTTTGATATTATGAACAAAATGTTTGATATTATGAACAAAATGTTCATTATTTTGAACAAAAAGTTCGATATTATGAATAAAATGTTCAACATTAAGAACAAAATTTTCGATATTATGAACAAAATGTTATTAATTAATTAATTATAATTATTAAAGGGACTGTAAAGGAAAAATTAAAGGAGGTTTAGGCTGAAATCTAATTAACATTTTAGGAGTTGATCGAGACCCATAAGAGTTCTATCTGATGTTCCTGTCTCGAGAAGTTCACGTAAAACTGTGTCAAAGGAATTGAGTCGTTGCCACATACTCTGAATTTATAATCCCTATATCTTTGGAACCCAATGTCGTACTTCTTTGATATTTCAAACTTATATCATTTGATCTAACAGAATTCATAGTTTGAAATATCTAAGGTCTACGACATTGGAATCCAAAGATATAGGGATTATAAATTCAAAGTTTGTGGCAAAGACTCAATTCCTTTATACGTAAATTTATATATATAAAATTTTATAAAAGTTATATTTGCAATTATATCTATTAAAAATGAAAAATTATTTAAATAAAATAATAATAGAAGCAAACCTAAGTTTTCAAGGCTAGAGGGATATCGACGTTTTCAGATTGGTTGCGTATTTGCTAAATATGATTTTTTCACAAAATTTTATATATGAATTTTAGCATAATTTTGACACTGTTTTATATCAATTTCTCGAGACAATAACAACAGATAGATCTCTTTTAGGTCAACTCCTAAAATGCTCAGGTTTCAGCCTATACCCCTGGCATTTTTCCTTTACAGTCCCTTTAAGAAGCTTAACCAAAATATGTCCTACAAGAATTTGGATAGTGTTATAAGGTATATTAAATGTTCATTATCAGTTTTTAATTTTAAATCAAACATCAAAAAATAGCTTCTAAATATAAATAATTTAAATGTAAAAAGCTAAAATTTCTAAATTACTTAGTGTCACTTGAAACAATTAATTAACAAACATCTAGTTATAAATCAGAAATGTAAAAAAAATTGTAGATTTAATGTCAGCTGAAATGGATAACTACAGAAATTTAGTCTTTGTCACAAACTCTTCTTTTCTTATCCCTATAATTATAAATGTCGTAGACCTGAGATATTTCAAACTATGAATTATTTTAGCTAAATTAATATAAGTTTGAAGTATCAAAGGTCTACACCATGATGTTACAAAGATAAAAGGATTAGAAAACTTTAGTTTGTGGCAAAGACGGAATTGCTTTATCTTTAAAAGAGAAATATCAGAACATTTTTGGAAAATAATGCAAGACAGGGAGAATCAATAAATTTAGTTTAAATATACAGGGTTACCCAAAAAAGAAAAGACTTTAATGGTGTCCTAAATCCTAATACTCTTTTTTTCTAACAATCTAAAGGTTAAAATTAGTCTTCAGTCTTTACTATTAATCGTGAACTTGATAATTTCACAAACAAAGCAAAAAGTTTGAAGCTGATGCACTGTAGGTAACAATTGATGTTTGAAGACAAAATGAATAATCGAATATCTGTGTAGGTTTAACCCTGTACCAGAATATCTGTGTAGGTTTAACCCTGTATCAGAATATCTGTGTAGGTTTAACCCTGTATCAGAATATTAGGTTTAGCCATGTACCAGAATATCTGTGTAGGTTTAACCCTGTATCAGAATATCTGTGTAGGTTTAACCCTGTATCAGAATATCTGTGTAGGTTTAGCCCTGTACCAGAATATCTGTGTAGGTTTAACCCTGTATCAGAATATCTGTGTAGGTTTAGCCCTGTATCAGGAAAGAAAAGATCAGAATAAAAGTTTATTTTTAAAGTCAATATTTTTGAAGGACCAAGCGTGGTTTAAATGAAAAGTCCTCAATTAGAATGACACAACAGATTAAAATTCATACATTACAATACTGCAGACAGTTTATGAGTTGATTTTTCAAGTCCCTAGGAAACATTTAAACGCATATCAGTTCCTCTTAAAAGTTTCAAGGTTACCGTAGCAAATCGGGTATTGTCATCATTGCATAAATGGTCACTTGAAAATTCGCGTACATTCCTTTTAACAGAAACTTAGGGTAGATCATTTCATATATTTTGGCGAACAACCTAACCCCTGCTTTAAGGTATTTGACTGGAGAAAGGAGAAAACAGTAATTATTAACCATTCTTTTCTTAAAACTGATTTCTTCAAGCATGGAGGAACGAACCTTTAGTTTTGTTAAACTCCAATTAAAATTGTTTCAAGATTCCAATACTTGATTTGCTCAGGGTTTTATTAAAATATAAATTCGGTATTTTTGATAGGAGACATTAGCGGAGTTAGTAATAGGTCCGTTTAGCGGCCTTTTAGAGATAATCAGACTACCCGCTAGCTTCCTAGCTGATATATAGAGATAGCTAGAATCATCTCATCTGTCTAGCTTGTCCGTCATGTCTAACATGTCTATATGCGGGTCTTTCAAGTCAACGAGATCAACCTTGACTACCAAGTCTACCATTATTGTCTACCGTGTGATTATCAGGATACGAATTCAGCCTAGAAAACAGATTTTTCCTACCATAGTCAACCTAGAAAACAGATACCCTACCATATTCAACCTAGAAAACAGATATATCCTACCCAAGTCAACCTAGAAAAAAGATATTTCTTACCATATAAACCTAGAAAACAGATATATCCTACCATGGCCAACCAATTAAACAGATATTCTACCATAATCTCTCCAGAAAACAGACATATCCTACCATGGTCTACCTAGAAAACAGATATCCTACCATCATCTACCTAGAAAACAGATATCCAACAATGGTCTATCTAGAAAGCAGATATCCTACCAAAATCTACCTAAAAACAGATATCTTGCACCTGCATGGTCTATCAGAAAACAGATATCCTACCATAATCTACCTAGAAAACAGGTATCCTATCAATTTTATCAGTAGTTTATTTTTCATATTATTTTTTTCAAGTTCATGGTCTACCTAGAAAACAGATATATTCTTACGTGATCTACCTAGAAAAAAGATATCCTACCATAGTCTACCTAGAAAACAGATATTCTATCATGGTCTACCTTGAAAACAGATATATTCTAACATGATCTACCTAGAAAAAAGATATCCTACCATTGTCTACCTAGAAAACAGAAATATCTTACCATGGTCTACCTAGAAAACTGCAGATGCTTCCTACCATAGTCAACCTGGGAAAAAAGATATATCCTACCATATCAACCAAAAGAACAGAAATATCCTACCATGGCCAAACTAGAAAACAGAATCCTACCATAATCTACTTAGAAAACAGATATATCCTGCCATGGTAAACCTAGAAAACAGATTTATCCAAACATAAACTACCTAAAAAACAGATATCCTACCATGGTCTATCTAGAAAACAGATATAACCTGGTCTACCTAGAAAATAGATATATCTTACCATAATCTTCCTTGAAAACTTATATCCTACGTGAATGGTCTATCTAGAAAACAGATATTCTACCATAATCTACCAAGATAACAAATGTATCCTAACATAGTCTACCAAAAAAAAACAGATAAATTAAACCAGGGTAACCTAGAAAACAGATATCCTACTATAGTCAACCTAGAAAACAGGTATATCCTCCCATTGTCTACCTAGAAAACAGGTATTTCATACCATAGTCTACCTAGAAAACAAAGATATCCTACCATGGTCTACCTAGAAAACAGATATATCCTATCATAGTCAACCTAAAAAACAGATATATACTACCAGTCAACCTAGATAGCAGATATATCCTACCATATCATACCTAGAAAACAGATATATCCTACCATGGTGAACCTAGAAAACAGATATATCCTACCATAATCTACCTAAAAAAAAAATATATCCTACCATGGTGAACCTAGAAAACATATATATCCTACCATAATCTACCTAAAAAACAGATATATCCTACCATGGTGAACCTAGAAAACAGATATATCCTACCATAGTCATCTACCTAAAAAAAAAATATATCCTACCATGGTGAACCTAGAAAACAGATATATCCTACCATGGTGAACCTAGAAAACAGATATATCCTACCATAGTCTACCTAGTAAAGTAAAATAAAACACTTGAATGTAAATACAATTTCTATCAAACCCTCAATAATTCTTGTTTTCTTCTCTGTACTCATTCTCTATGATTTTACATACTCTATGTACACAGAACAATGCACATTCGTTATGTACTTTCTTTAACTTATAAATAGTGTACACTGTACAAGTGTACACCAAGTGTGCTGGTTTTATCCATGCAGTTGAGAAGAGACGTTTTAGCGCTGAATACATGAATACAGTTTAAGTGTTGATTATGAGTTTAAAAAATAACAAATTAGATATACTGGGGGAACTACAGAAAAGAAATTTAATTAACATTTTAGGTAATTCATGTTTAAAGTTTGAAGTCCTTGTTTTTAGGAAAATATTATTGATTTACTTTTACTGAACAATTATTCAATGATTTTCGAAAAACTTTTTTTCTCAAGCAATTCTTAACTTTTAGGACAATATAATAGACTTTAAGGCAAAATATTTGATGTTTAGTTAATATACTTAATTTTTCAGGCAAAGTATTTTATTTTTAGGTCATAAAACTTGATTTTTTAGACAATTTACTTGATTTTTTAGACAATTTACTTGATTTTTTAGGCAATTTACTTGATTGTTTAGGCAATTTACTTGATTTTTTAGGCAATTTACATGGTTTTTAGGCAATTTACTTGATTTTCAGGCAAATTATTTGATTTTTAGGCTGTAAAACTTGTTTGTTTAGGCAATATACTTGATCAACTATCCCCGCACTGTCTTAGATTACTTCAGTTCACTTGCTCTTTATACAGGTAACATTTACAAGGAGTTCAATTAAACTAAGAGACAAATAAAAGATTATTCGTTTGTATTTTTAACAAACAATTTACAAACTTTTTAGGATCCCATGGGTATCCTAGGGGTAACATAGGCTAAAAAATAAAATTTATTTTTCAAATTCGATTTTTTCAAAATATAATGTTTTTGTCTCGTAATTAGAGTTTTAATAAGCTTTTTTTAAAATTCCATGGCAACCCCGGGCACTTGAATTAGTATGACAATAATTTTAGAGAGATAGTGAAGGATGACCCGCGAAGTGTGCGCCGACTGGAGCTATCTCGAAGATGGCTGTACGGTCAACCTACTGTGCTACCTATCTGTCAGAGACCGGGGTATATGGTGACTGCTCTAGCAGCTCATCCTGGAGATTCAATCATCTTCGGCCTACTGGGTTAGAAAACTTTCATTGTTTTTTTATAGAAAGTCTTTACTTTAAAACCAAAAAAAATTGCAACTGTAGTTCAGATTTTAATTTTTTTAATAAATTCGCCATTTTTTTGCAACTTAGCATGAAGGCGTTTAATCGTTGCTTATCTGCAGACTTATTTTCTCTCTATGACAAATGATCTTTGTCCACTGATGTTGGAGTGTTTTGTCAGTTTGGTCATGAAACTGTCAGAAAAACAAAAGAAAAACATCAATTTTTTTCTTGGACTTCACATGGCCGAAGAGGAGGTTTATGGTCGATCTGAATTTTGAAAAAAAAATCTCAAATCCACGAAAAATCGATAAATATACAAATTTTTGGTTATTGACTGATAAGTTAAGATAAAATGCAGCATAGAGCAACAATTAACGGGTAAAATCGAAGATGGGTGGAATCATTTAAGTATTTTAATATTCCTAGTTCAATATTTCCTAATACAAGGTCTTAAACTCTTTAATTCTGCCAAGAATATAAGGTCAAGGATACGGCTTAAATCCAGCTTATCTAAAAGTTCATACTGCTGGAAAACGTTTGCAACTAAAATCTTTTACAAAATTAATTTTGCAAATGGTTATTCTAAAAAAGCCGGATCTCACAGTCACAACTAACTCTTGATTTTCAAGATGGGAAAAGAAAAAAATGCACAATTAGCATTAAAATTTATACTATTTTTTGTTTCTAGAAAAGCATTTGAAAACTGTCCTCGGCAAATCTGTCTGCTTAGTGTTGCATATTATGTATGACCATGCCAGCAAGAAAAACTATGTCTATCATTCATATTTTAAATCCTTTATTATTGGTGCTGTTATGAACGAAACCGTCCATAAATACTGGATCTAAAAATTGTATCAATCATGATAGGTTTTTCTTTTAATCATAAATACTCTTTTTAATTTCATTTCTTTGTTGAACAAATATTTTATTTGTATTTATTAAGGTGACAATGCTACTGTAAACATGTACAAGAAAGATACTCTGAAATTGACCGCTAGATTAGAACAGGTCATAACACTGTCATCTTAGATAAATCGGATAAATCATTGAGGGAGGGGGGGGGGGTTTCACTTTTTACAGCATTCGTCTGCAAATATTACAAAAGACTTTACTGCTCTTATTTCAAAATTGCACACCGAAAAATGTCTCATTGGTATCAAATGAACCCTATAGTTTTCTCTACAATATTGCACTTTCAGCTCAACTACCATGTCTAACCGGTCTCTCCCTTTAAAATCAAATTGGAAATCCATCTTTGAAAACAAGTTTTTTTTTAATGTGCTAAGGGAACCTAAGGTGTCTTAAAATCTTTGTTCGATAGAAAATTATTGAACCTTTCTAACCCTATCTTATTTTTTGTTTTATTTAAGTCCCGTGAATTCCCTGCCTCTATTCCCGCCCTGGTGTACAACGACCAGGTTGTTGTTACATGTGTCTACGAGTCCCTGGTCCAGGGGGGACTCAACCACGTTCTCTACATATGGAGAAGAGAGGATAATTCATTAGGTTAGACCTTATCAACGTCATCCAGAGGTCGGATTTAAAGGGACTGTAAGCGTAATTTTAAGTAACCTTAAATTTGTAGCGTGGCATGACCGATTTACAATGATACCCTTTAAACCTTTGTTTGGTCAAGAATTTCATAGATATTCTTATCTATTTAGCAAGAAATTAAGTGCAAAGAAACCGTGCCAGTGTACACTAGCACGAAGTGTACACTGTACGCTGTACACTGTAACCTCGAGTCTCCTTGCATTCAATCTTCAGCTATACAAATAAGAGTATCTACCTCATCGTTTTCCGGACAAAGGTTTACAGGTTACCGTTGTGAATCGGACATGCCTTTCTATAAATGGAAACTTTAAATTATGCTTACAATCCCTTTAAACTCGTCTACCCGTTCTTAGCTCAACAACTGTTCACTCTTCATCACTTCCGACCTCAGACTAAACATATATGAGACCTTCGTTATTATTGTAATTATTAAATTTTTAAATTATTTTTAAAAATAGTTATTCTTAGATTTTTAATTTTATTATTTTGTATACCTGTTGTTTGTGTTTCCTGTAAACTAAACCTGTAGAAAGGTTCAATTGCAAAACAATTTGTTGGCACAAAACTGGATCTTAATTTATTTTAAATTTTTTTTAAATGATATTTGTTTTAGCTTCGACATTCTCCCCTCACTCTCAACTCATACGAACTGTTAAATTAGCAAACAAGTAAGTTTAGGATCTCACTTATTAAAACAAAAAACAAAACAAAAATTATGAAATGATTATCTTTTGTTTTTTTTTAATTATGAAATGTTTTATATTTTGTTATTAGTAAATAACAATATTTCCCGAACATATCTAAGTAATATCTGGTATAACAGTTACAAAATTCAAAAACCTTGGTCGTATTCTGTGTATTCCATAACAAAAGGAATAATTAAGATAAAAATCATTTTACCAGTTTTTTGTTATCGCTGTATGATAAAGTTATGGATCAAAACTTAATTCCTTGTGGTGGAATATTATGAATCTCTTTGAAAAAAAAACATTACCAATATGTAATACTGTGGAGAAAAAATTGTAGTTCTTTATGACCTATTTGACCTGCAAAACATATATTTTATTTCATTTAGTTTTATTTTGACTGCCAGCAACGATGGTACTATAGTAGTGACTGATTTGACCAACCCTTCCCAACCCACTCTTAAACACACATTGACCGGACACAAGGTGGGAAACAAACAAATTTTAACAAACTTTTTTCAAATTCATCATTTAAAGCCAAAAGGACTGTAAGCTTAATGTTAAGTGACCTTCCATTTATATAGAGGCATGTCCGATTGACAACGGTACCCTTTAAACCTTCGCCTGGACAACGATAAGCTAGGCACCCTAATTTGTATAGCTGAAGATTGAATGCGGGGATATTCGAGATTATAGTGTACACTGTCTCTCCGCGCTAGTATATACTAGCGCTCTCCGTGCTAGTGTACACTGTCTCTCCGTGCTAGTGTACACTAGCGCGGTTTCTTGGCACTTAATTTTCCGCTATTGAAATAAGAATATCTACAAATCCTTGATCACATAGAAAGGTTTAAAGGGTATCGTTGTTAATCGGACATGCCACTCTATAAATGGAAGGTACCTTGAAATTATGCTTACAGTCCCTTTAAGGATTATGTGAGTGGACTTGACAATGATGCCTCCCGTGTAGTTTCGGTATCAGTGGATAACATCATGAAGGTAACTTCTGTATCAGTGGATAACATCATGAAGGTAACTTCTGTATCAAGTTGATAACATCATGAAGGTAACTTCTGTATCAGTTGATAACATCATGAAGGTAACTTCTGTATCAATTGATAACATCATGAAGGTAGTTTCAGTATCAGTTGATAACATCATGAAGGTAACTTCTGTATTAGTTCGTCTAAAATTGAAAATAGACGGACATATCACAAAAAAAAAATTCAAAATTGCTTGAATATCCATGCCCAATATTAGTGTTCCACTACCAAATGAATAAAACCAAAAAATAGATATCCTCGTTATTTCTTTCCAAAAATGATAGATTTCTCCAGCACGGACAATAAAAAACATCTATTTCTTCTACTGTATTACTTTGATAAGTTTTAAACGGTACCTGTGTGAATCTGAAACGTAACTCTTAAACTCGAGAGAAATTTCAACGACAGGCGTCCCTTCAAGATATCTGCAAATTAAAAAAAATGTTTATTTTAGTTATTCTAGGTTTGGAGTATACCAAGCTTCAAGTGTGTTTTCTCTGTGAATACTGAAACACCAACTTTAAAGGCATGTTTTAAAGATTTTGAAAAATGTTAAAAGTTAGGTGTAAAGCTTTACACCTAATCTTATTAATAAAAATATTTCATCTTTACTTATCAACCCCCCCCCCCCCTTCATGTTGCCTGATAATTCATTTGTTTTACATTTAATTTATAGAAAGTTTAAGGGGTCAGTACCATTCTGAGAAAAAATTCATTCTTATAATTAGAAATTTTAGCTTGAATAAGGAGATAAACCCGGATCATGTTAACCCTCTTTCTTAATTGTCTGATCAAGGTTTCGATGAGCTGGCCCCTAGCTGTGACCGGAGGAAAGACGACCTTGGTGCTCTGGAATTTAGGTCAAATTACTATTTTCATAATTACAATTATTGTTTAACTAATATTTTTAAAATATTCTCCCAAATTTTTTTTTTCTTTTTTAAAATTACCTGAACATGATGCAAGATGCACGAACTACAAGAAGAAAATGTAAAGCAAGAAATATAGAAATGTCCTAATATTTGCATCTGCTATCTAATTATTAATAGAATATTGTTAAAATTCAAATAGATAAAATAAATATGTAAAAAAAACATTGTTTTTTAAATATTCAGAGTTGCAGTTCAAGATTAGAGAACTCAACATGGAGTCCTTAGGCAGTCTCAGGTTTAATTAAAGGGACTGTAAGCGTAATTTAAAGGGAACCTCCATGCAAAGGTGGCAATGCAAGATTTACAACGGTACCATTAAAAACCTTGATCTTATATAAATGTGGAAGAAACCGTCGTTTTTCTGACTAAAAGTGTTTATTTCTGTCAGTTTCTTCATTGCTTCTTGTAACAAGTAATGCGCAAGTCACTTTTGCAGAGAAACCCCCAATGAAAATGAACAGTTTTGGAAACAAAAAGATTGATATATAGTTCATACTTGATCAGAAAAAGCTTTCAAGGGTACCGTTGTAAATCGGGCATTGCCATCTTTGCACGGAGAGTCACTTGAAATTACGCTTACAGTCCCTTTTATAAGATTTAAGAATTTTTTTTCTAAATCTGTGTTCCATATGACCATACAATCTATGTCCAGTACAAAAAAGTCCGTCCCCAAAAATAACAATTGGTTCCCTCTGAAATGGTGAAGCCTTACATATGCTTGTTTTATGAGCTATATACTTCAGAAAAATTATAAATTTTGATTTGAGGAAATAACGGGCGATAACAGTATCAAATGATAACCCTTTTTCTGCTATCTGGTTTCAATTGATTTTATTTTTTTTAAAATAAATTTCGAGGTACAATATTTAAATGTTTCAATTCATTGGATTCTTAATTCAAAATTTAGTGTTGTTTGTATGACCTACTCAGCTGATGCTGGTACCAGTATTGGATCCAGGTACAAGAAAACTTCAAGCAGCTCTTCCTGCCAGCAGCAGCACGCTGGTCAACAGACCAAGAGGAGAAATCCGGGAAATGTTTATATTGTATCAGGAAGGATAGGACACATTCTTTTGGTGTAGGCAGTTAAAACAAAGCAACTAAGTTTAGTTTTTCAAAATAGTAGACTGCATGAATCCGCAAAAATTTCTTATTATATGAGTGTATTGCAATCCAACTCAATGATTTAAGTTGTTTTTTTCATTGCTCAGTTATGTAATCCAAATACATGTGCTGATTATTACATTTCATCTGCAGTTTGTGCACTTTTTATATTTAATATATCCTATTCCTTATTAGGCGATAATCATGGTAAAATCTCTATCTGGGATACCAGGTAGTATCTAAACATATATGTTATCACATAAAGGGACTGAGGGCATTAATTTTAATTGTGACTATAACACTATAAAATTAGATTTGTTTGAAATTGGGTAGACACTGGACATTGGACAGTCTCTTGAATAATTAAAATTTTCTACACTTTCTTTCCTACCCCAGACAATAAACATATGATTAATTTCAGTAGAATAATTGCTGGGCACAGTGGAGTTGACCCTCATAGACAATTCCAGGTACACAATTAAAGGAGTTGACCCTCATAGACAATTCCAGGTACACAATTAAAGGAGTTGACCCTCATAGACAATTCCAGGTACTCAATTAAAGGAGTTGACCCTCCTAGACAATTCCAGGTACGCACTTAAAGGAGTTGACCCTCCTAGACAATTCCAGGTACACAAAGGAGTTGACCCTCCTAGACAATTCCAGGTACGCAATTAAAGGAGTTGACCCTCATAGACAATGCCAGGTATACAATTAAAGGAGTTGACCTTCATAGACAATTCCAGGTACACAATTAAAGGATTTGACCTTCATAGACAATTCCAGGTACTCAATTAAAGGATTTGACCTTCATAGACAATTCCAGGTACATAATTAAAGGAGTTGACCCTCATAGACAATTCCAGGTATACGCAATTAAAGGAGTTGACCCTCGTAGTCAATTTCAGGTACGCAATTAAAGGAGTTGACCCTCATAGACAATTCCAGGTACACAATTAAAGGAGTTGAACCTCATAGACGATTCCAGGTCGGTACGCAATTACACGGACTGTATGAAAAAAGCAACTTTTGTTAGATGAAGGGAGATTTCATTGGTAATACAATAAGACTGAATCGTATAAATTAGTTTTTTGTACTTAAAAAAATATGGAATTTAATACCCTCATACTATAGGGATCATGTAATGTAAGTTCTATATAGATATGTCCATTTTTTAGGTATGGGTTTTTAAGGCAGTTAGGAACTGAAAGAAAACCTAGTAGCTGAAAGGAACACTAGGAACTGAAAGGAAAATTATGAACTGAAAGGAAAATTATGAACTGAAAGGAACTAGGTACTGAAAGGAAAACTAGGAACGGAAAGGAACACTTGAAACTGAAAGGAAAACTAGGAACGGAAAGGAACACTTGACACTTAAAGGAACACTAGGAACTGAAAGGAAAACTAGGAACGTAATGGAAATCTATGAACGGTAAGAAAAACTCCGAACTGAAAGGAAAACTGGAAACCTAGGAACTGAAAGGAAAACTAGGAACTGAAAGGAAAACTGGAAATCTAAGAACTGAAAGAAAAACTAGTAACTTAAAGGGAATCTAGGTACTGCGGGACAAATTATGATCGGAAAGGCAAACTAAGAACTGAAAAGAAAACTGGGAATTAAAAGGAAAACTAGGAATTGAAAGGAAAACTGGAAACTGAAAGGCAATGCAGGACGAATTAAAAATTACGTTTAAAAATCTGCCAATATTTAGATTGGACCGACGGCAAGCATGATATCGTCCTTGGCTGTTGACGAATACAGTATTATAACTGGAGACTGGGCAGGTCAGGTTCTGGTCTGGAAATTTGTCTAATAGCCAGTACCTTTGTAAATGTACGCTTAGCTTTGTAAACAATAGTGTACGCCTATAAATAGTACATTTGCAAACAATAGTGTACGCCTATAAATAGTACATTTGCAAACAATAATGTACGCCTACAAATAGTACATTTGTAAACAATGATGTACGCCTACAAATAGTGCATTTGTAAACAATAATGTACGCCTACAAATTGTACTTCTGTAAGTCTCAATTCCTGCAAGTTGTACGCCATCAAGTTTAATGCTGGCCAAGTTTAATTTTGTATGTTGTACTAATTAAACACGTCTAAAAGTTTATTTTGTTTTGCGTACTAAAATCTATGCAGATTATAGACACAAGTAATCAAAATTTGTTTAATCTTGACATTAATCTTTTTGACTAAAAATTAAAATTCCAAAAATTATTGTACGCTTTCTTTTACTGGACAAAAACTAAGAGAGTTTTTTATCAAAGAATCTATTTGAATTTGTATCTTATTCAATCTATTGTATTTGTAAATTTTGTCCTTAATTCTGTTATACAATTTTATAATATACAAATATATATGACACATATTTATTCAATTTTCTTTTTCAATAGAAAGAGTTATTATATTTAGTTGCTATTTTTTCTTGAAAATAGTACAACTAGTTTATTTGTATGAAGGGGGGGGGGAGATTAAGACAACTTGCCAAAATGTAAGGGGGAGGTTGGTTATAAATACCCCCTCCGAGCTTTGCATACAGTGTTATCCGTTTTTGGTAATATCATTTAGATAATACGTTAACAAGGATAAAATTTATCCTTACGGTCGTTATTAAAGAGTTTCATGTTTTAAGAGTTACAGGTTGTCATAAAAGAAGCATCCTTTGTGAGTAACCCTGTATATGAATTCAACTCATTCTTTTCCGACTGCATCTCAGCCCTAGAATCTCAATTATATGTGCACTGGTGCAGGAGGGTTAAAAGCTGAGCTCACGCAACCTCAACCTCGTCAAAATATGATTTTTGCGTCAACACTCGACTGAGAAGTAACATTTTTGATCCTTAGTTGATGGAAATTGTAGGTGCAGAGCTAGAGGTATCTTGGGGAGGGAATCAAGGGGCATAATTTGGTTATGCGGGTATGAAAATTATAGGGGAATTTTTATAAAGGCGGACAAACAACACTATTTTTGAATAATTGATAAAATCTTATTTACGTCTCTAATTAAGCAGCTGATAATATATTTATAGATAAAATAATTTATAGGTTTTATAATCATATACAGGGTTACCAACAAGGAATAAGTCTTCAGAGACCACCATACTCTAATCTATTCAGTGTTTTTTTCAGATCCCTCCGGTCTGCAGAGGCTCTCGTGTTTAGCTTTCATTGCAAAACTAAACTATTACACCTTGACTATTAAAAAAACTATGTTTAATGCAGAAGCCCAAAATGAATACTTAGATTAGCCTACAGGGTGTCCCACGAAACATGACAGTTGGTGAATAGTTTAGAATTTCTTTTTCCATTATTTGTCAAGTTGTTTGATACCAAAGATCAATAAAAATATTATATGGGAGTAATGTTATATTACAATTGATTTCAAGGTAAAATATTATTAAGCAAAATATTTGTTTAACTAAAAATAACTATTTATGAAATGTCATGTTTTGGGGAACACCCTGTATCTACTGGCATTTTGATCGTCTTATATTATGTTGATATCCGTGTATATGTTTTTAATATAATCGTTAAGAGAAGTGATGGGTTGCTTTTTAATTATAATCTTCCAGTCAAGGTCGCTTTTATCTTTCAACGTCGCCTAAAAGTCGTCTTAATATTCAAAAGTTTTCTAGTTCTCACTGTAGGTTATTTTAATGGATTTACAGTACACAAGTTTCTACTTCTGGTTTGCCAGGAAACCACGACTTTTCTTTTATATTTCAGTGAGGGCTTTCACCATTTTGTATCGGTCAGCAGAAGAATTTAGACTTTGAATCAATTTTATCCTTTCATTGTCATAAAATCTGTAGTTGTGGACTATGGTTATCTTTTCAAATCTTGTACAGGGTTACCCAGAAAGGATGAGACTTCAAAGACGACTGTACGGAATTTATACTGTATGTTTTCTTATATTCATGATTCTCTGCAGCTGTAAACGTCTTTCTTCATTTGACAAATCATTTAAGAATCCATTAAAAGGCAGAAGAATTAATTCAACCTTGGGATCGTATATGTTTAAAGAGTTTCAGGTCGTCTTTACAGAGTCATCCTTCGTGGGTAACCCTGTGTAGTGTAAATACCATACATAGGTTCACAACTTGGAATAATTTGTTGCTTTAAGGGCATAAGCGTGTGAATATTTGAAATTTTGAAAACTGATTATTTTTTAATGTGGGTTTGAACCAAAGTTGACTGCGCATTTCTACTACAGAAAAAGCATGTAGGAATTATCTGTTATAAACACTTTTGATTAGATAAAAGTTTCAAGGTATTTTTATGAATCTGGTTTTGATATCTTTACACGGAGGGTTGATTGAAATTACGCTTACAGTCCCTTTAACTGTGAAGAAAGGAGGGAAATAAAAATGCGCCCAGTTTAAAAGTTAAAATTAGATTTACAATATTTGTAAAGGTTTCTTTATAGGTACAACACTGTGTAACAGGGGGCTTAGGGGAAACTACAATAGCCCCCTATCTTTGTAACCCCCCCCCCATCCGCTTCCTTTTCTGTCTTGTCACTTCCGCAGCTTTGTCCAGTTGTAAAGTTAGGAGATAGTTCCTCTAAATACAGAATACAAATTTACAAAATGGTTCTCGACATTTTTTCGCCTTGGGCTATTTTCTTGTTCACTAGACAGAAGGAGAATGTATATTTATGCGGTATTACTGTTACAACTTTGTGACCTCGAGTACCTCTCAATTTTTACTTTCCGCACAGTATAGAGCAAAATTAGAAATTAAAACATTTTGTTCTTTACAGAGAGTTATGATTGAACACATTTTAAATTTTAATCTAACGTGATTTTTTTATATGATGACTTTTTATTAATTGCTTAGTTTTTTAAAACATTTTTTATAATAATTTAAAGGTGATTCAAGTGCTTTTAGCTTGGTAGCTTTAGACACTATTTTTTAATAATTTAAAGGAGATTCAAGCACGTTTAGATTTTATAGCTTTAGACACTATTTTTTAATAATTTAAAGGAGATTCAAGCACGTTTAGATTTTCTAGCTTTAGACACTATTTTTTAATAATTTAAAGGTAATTCAAGCACGTTTAGATTTTCTAGCTTTAGACACTATTTTTTAATAATTTAAAGGAGATTCAAGCACGTTTAGATTTTCTAGCTTTAGACACTATTTTTTAATAATTTAAAGGTAATTCAAGCACGTTTAGATTTTCTAGCTTTAGACACTATTTTTTAATAATTTAAAGGAGATTCAAGCGCTCTGAGCTTGATAGCTTTAGACATTTTTTTATAATAATTTAAAAGTGATTCAAGAGCTTTTAGCTTGGTAGCTTTAAAAATTTTTACATAATAATTTAAAGGTGATTCAAGTGCTTTTAGCTTGGTAGCTTTAAAAATTTTTTCATAATAATTTAAAGGTGATTCAAGTGCTTTTAGCTTGGTAGCTTTAAAAATTTTTTCATAATAATTTAAAGGTGATTCAAGCGCTTTTAGTTTGGTAGCTTTAGACATTTTTTTAGAATTTATCTACAAAAGTACTTCCTCATTTTACTGCATGCATTTAACAGTTCCGTCCTAATCCCAGCAAGCTGTTACTGTTCAACATATATTTTCGCATTTTGTCCTTTTTTTACTTTTTTGTCAGTATTTTCAATTTAATGAAAAAGTATAAAAGACAAACTCTTAAATTTAAAGATTTATGAGTTATATAGACAGAAATGTAATTGAAGTAAAATAGAAGAAACCGAACGTATCTATAATTGGTTTATCCCGGGGGGGGGGAGGCTGGGAGCGTAATCAATTCTTAAGTAATATTATTTTAGCTAGACTCTTACTATTTTTACCATTTGTTTGGACAGACTCCCAACCACTTAAAGTTTTTGAACTACAAATTTCTTGATTAATTTGATTTTTTTACTTTTGAAATTTTTTTCAATCGTTTATGCTAGGCAAGTCCAAACCAACGTTGTATAATAAGGTTAATGTCGTCTCCAAAGACAGATAGATAATTAAACCCAATATGACGTCACTGATTATAGAGGCGAGAGTGACGTCATATTGGGTGTTTATCTATCCACCTTAGGAGACGACATTTCCCGTACATTGAAGTTCATCGAGAGTAACCAACCTTATTAAACAACCTTGGTCAAAACAATTCAGAAAACTCCAACGTCCTAAATTGTTAGCATACTGCAGTGCACAGTCACACTCTACTTATTGGAATCTGCGAATTTGACTGTCTGTCTATTTAACTATCTTTCTATCTGTCTATCTGTCTATTTATCAACATTTATCTGTCTATGAATTGACCTAAACAAAGCTGACTGAGAGCCCGACCCTGTCAAAACATTTATCCAAACCTAACAAGAAACACAATCACAAAAATTCCCCCATCCCCTCTCCACCCCTCCCCCCAATTTCACACCGGATTTGCCACTTTAGTTAAGAGCACCGCCTGCAGTAAGATGCGAAAGACCACCCAGAATTTAAAAGACTCCTGGAGTCCTGGAGTCCCGTAGTGGGTCAGACGCGTAAAAAAAGACAAATTCTTAACATTCCTCCGGAATCAGTCACATTATGGTTAGAGGGTGTAAAATAGTAAATTTTCCAACCAAACTTTTAGATCTCACAGTTTCAGAGGTTAAAGGGTTAGAAACAGGGTTCGCCACAAACAACAAAACTTGATTAATGACGACCTGAAATTCTTTAAATGAGACTTCAAGAAGATTACTGCTACAGAGAAACATTAATATATGAAATGACTGACTAAATTCTTACAGTCATCTTTGAAGTATCATTCTTTGTGTGGCAAAGAAACTCACCTTTTCTCACAAACTCAAATTTTCTAATCCCAATATCTTTGTGACCTTTTGATGTAAACCTTCGCTATTTCAAACTTAGACTATTTGAACTAAAAGAATTGATAGTTTGAAATATCGAAGATCCACGACCTCGGGAGTCGGGTTGCAAAAAATAAAAGAATTAGTAAATCAGAGTTTGTGACAAAAACTGAGATCCTTTTAGAAAAATTATTAATTAGAGTGTCTCTAAAAAAGTGTGTTTAAGCTTTTTTCCACATGTTTGTACTTAAAAGGGGTACAAGTAGGTACAGTACAAATGTCAAAACATTGGGTAGTCGTCGATGAATTATTTTGCCGCTTTAACCCTTAAATGAGGGCCTATTATTCATAAATGTGCTCGGTCCCTTTTTTAGAAGATTTTCGATAGGTTTTTAACATACTAATGTCCTTTTATTGTGCTAAAGAGGGTTTCAGGAAGGTATAGTGCCCATAAATGGGTGGGTCGTCGATGAAATATTTTACTCTAAAATGCAGTTTTAGCCTTCAAAATGTACTCGAGAGGTATTCGGTCCCATTTCCAAAATTAATTCATAATCACTT